TCACGTAGGGGATGGTGAGTCAGAATTTTGGCTTTTATTCGCTCGACCGATGAACGCGAGGTTTCTTGAGGCACTTTCTGATGAAGGACTTCGGATAACCGTTGGCCTTGAAAAGGACATGTAAGTACTTAATCTCCTCTTGCTTCCCACTGTCGTCGGTACAATGTGTTTGAATACGTCGGAAGAGGGTTTTGACACAACTGCGTTTGTGACCAGCAGGGTGGTTGCTTTGGAAGTGAAGAATGAGCCAGGTGTTGGTTGCCTTACGGTAGACCGTTGTCCTTATCTTCCCGTCTGTTAGTTTTGTAACTTGGACGTCGAGGAAGGGCAACTGATTGTTGACGTCTTCTTCCATGGTGAACTGGATGTGACGAAAGATCGAATTCAACAATGCCTTGAAAGCTTACACCTGGCTCCGCTTTAGTATGACGAATGTGTCATCAACGTATCGGGCCCAGAACTTTGGGGTGGAGGTCGGAGGTCACTCGACCAACAGCAAACACTGTCTCACTGTTACAACCGCGAGGCAAAGAACAACCCAAGGGAACAGCAATGAGTGATCAGGCCGCCGGGTGACGTGGGGGAGGCCGACAAGCATATTTTCTCGCCTACAACTACGCTGATCGCAGAGGGGACGAAGGTCACGCAAGCCCACCAGCAGCCAACCTCCGGAAAACCAAATGCGGTCGGCAACGAACGGGAAGGTCAACGTTCACACGTCCAACACCGATATAATTTGAGGCAGACGGCAAGGCTGGCTAACTCAAGACCACCAGACGCAGCTACTACAAAACTCTGACGATGGAAGCGAGAAGGTTTTCGAAACGTCAGTTCGAATATAATTTGGTCTATGAACCCGCCCCCTCTTCTTCTTCCTTACCTTTAGCAGATGATGAACGCGATAACATATCTGGACCCCGAATCTTTCGGCATATAAATTTACAAATATATACGACTGCAATAAGGAAGATGCACATCCTGGTCCCATGATCGGAGATTGGGAAGTCAGAAGCTCGTGTCTCAGGCCTGTTACTTAAAACTTTCTATAGCACAAAAAGCGCACAACACGCACATACAATAAGTGCTTTGGAGTAGCAGTAGTTGCTGCCTTTTTTAACCATCCACAGTAGTCCCTCCGTCGTATTCGGGAGGATAGCATAAACCCAGACAGATCAGTGATGACTTATTATTGGTTCGTGTTAAAATTACGGGGACTGTCTGTCTTCCTCTTCGCGGTCGAAAAAGGATGCGCGGTGGCTAACATCGTAATCCGTGAAACAAGTCCCATCCCTGTTTGCAAAACCTTTGGAGCAAACGCATTAATTTGGCATGAAAAATATTCAAATTAGATTGCAGCGTTCACACTGCTTCAAAGTCTTGTAATGTTCCTTCTAATGCTTCATCACCCCTTACCTAATTTGGTTATTCAATAATCCTGTGCGTGTAGGAGACTCTACAGAACTATCTATTGGATACTCGATTGCAGATGACGGATTTAAACTAAAAGATGTGTCTGGTTCTGTCTTTCAGTCTATTGAACCTCAAGAAATATTTCTAAGAATTACAAAAATGTTTCGTTCAAAATGGGGCTCCGTTGGACAAGAAAAGTAGCCTGGTGTTTCTGAATGGTTGTTGGTGCCTACTAATAAGTCAAAAGAGCCCAGCATACGTTTCCTTGTCTACCTCAGTGTCTTTTTTCGACATATATTGCTAGTATCTGCGCAACTGCGTTCAAGATCTCTTAAATGTCCAATGAGATAAGCACCTTCCGCGACATGAACAGTGAGTGCCTCCGTTTTCACAAACCGCAGCTCTTCGTTTATATTTGAAAGCTTATAATAAGGCGGCGAACTAATGATCATAATGCATGTATGATTCAAATGAGAGCGCCCGCGATGGTGGTCAGCACTAGCTTTGCAATAGCGATCATTCGCTCATAGATTTATATCATAAGGACGTGTTCTGTTAAGTTGTCACTAACTCTATCTTGGTAACGCCTCTCAATCTGCACTTTACTAGTCTCTTTTGCATCCTGCAGGCGGACGAAAATATGCCTAGGGTGGTTACAGCACGAACCTCAACTTTAAATACCCCAGCTTATTACACTCACTTCATCCTAGCTGTTAACTCATAAAGCCTCCTGACCGAGCTCATAGAAACTTGAAACGAAGTACGTAGTCGATTTGCATATTGCTTTTTTCCTTTCAACTCAGATGGAAGAGAAGATTAGTCGCCTGCAAAGCAATCTGGAGACGGCGGAACGCTTGGTTCAGACCAAATCTGAACTCAATTTCATCACGGGTGGTCAAAAGGAGAAAGCCGATGGCAGCACGGAAACCGAGGGCAGGCAAGGGGAAAAGACAGTCGGTGGCAAACCGTCCGGGGACGAACATGGCAGGGAGGAAGAGGAACAGCAGCAGCAGTTGGATGAGGCAGCAGATCTGGCGACGCGGACTCAAATGCAACAGCAGATGAGCATTCATCGCAAGAACCTCAGCAGTATGATGATGCAACTGTCGAATGCACAGGAGCACATCAAAGACCTTACTGAACAACTGGAGGACAGTAAAGCTGAACTCGTACGTGCTCAGGAACGCGAGAAGTTGAATGAGGAGCATAATGAACGTCTTTCCTCCACCGTGAGTTAATGCTAGCCTCCGAACTGCTGCTAAAACCAAAAGCATGGGCTGTCTCTTTGCCCAAATGATAATTTGGTTTTCTTACATGTTTCGCTTTCCAATTATTGCCACCATTATCCTTGGTAGTCACCTTAAAGCACTAGGTGATTTGCTCTCCAAGTAGTTCTTTTCTGAGTCATTTTGTTTGTATATGGAAGTAGGCGCTTTATTATACTTTGGAGACCATCAAGTATAAACAGATGCGCATTGCCCGCAGAGACAAGGGCGACTGGAAAGGCAATTTCTGACCCAATAGCCAACAGTAGCCAGTCATATCCAACCCCCAGGTGGTGCACCAACCGAGACTCAAACACGCGACCCTTTGATCAGAAGTCAAACGCTCTAACCAGGTGGTGTCTAGCATGATGTTCCACTTGGTTTTGGGCATGGCTGGTTTATGACGGCTAATGAGCCAGAAAAGGACTATTTCATTCTCCCTTTGCCTCCACTACTAGCCGCTGTGCAGTTGCTAAGCGAGACTCAAGAACGACTCATGAGGCAGTGCGGAACGAGTAATTTCCGTCAGCGATTGTTGGGCGTTCATCAACGAGTATCAGCTGTTCAATTCTGCTAAACCAGTTTTA